CCTCTGTTCCTAGAATACACTGAAGTAAACAGGAAACAGAAATGAAGGGACAAAAAATTAGGAAAACATATAATGATGATAAATGAATGGACAGACATATGATATGTATGAACATACACAGATTTTGAGCCTGTCAGAACTGTGGCCACACAGAAAAATAAATGCACCTGAACATGCAGCTTATCATATTACCGAGTTTTCAAAACAAACCATCCATTTCGAGTAGTGATGCTATCTTTAAGTCCAGTAGGTTGCCACAGTAGTCGCTTGAGCCTCTTTTTAATCTTCCACAAATGAGATTCATGAGATTGTTACCATCTTATGCCACATAGGAGACTTAACACACACTTAAAGATGTTACACTGAAATCCAGCTCAGCACCATCTCTGTCTCTCTCCACTCTACTACTGATGCTGTCCCTATGGCTCACCCTGTAAGTGTCATTGTAACGTTAACATCTACAAACACAGGTCAAAATTCAAAAATTTTAATTGACGATGTTATCAGAGGTGACTTAGATCTTTTGTTTGAGTCATCAAATCAAAATTAGATTTATTTTAATATTGGCTGGTTGAGAATCAGACCCAGTCCTTTCATTCAGACAAGCAGCCCAGTGTCCCTGTTATACCACTGAAAATGCTACACGGCAAAGTCTACAGGGTTTTACTCAATGGAGGTGAAAGCGATGGCTTTTAAATCAGTCCCTCTCCCCTAAACCAATCACTGCGCTTCAGACTTACACATAGCATGCACCTGAATTGCAATACGCATTCATTACTTCAAAACGTAACAGTGGCAGTAAAACTGTATTCCATACTGAGATGGTAAACTTTGCAATCGATCCGTGTTTCAGGTGCCTGCTGAACTTGGGGGGCAAGGATCCGTACAAATCATGGATCAACTCCGGTCCGTTGCACCACTAATGATTATATCCAATGGTTAAAAAATATACATACAGCACAGCTAGTTTACTGTTCCATGTAAATCTTGGATGCAACTAGGTGTCCCAACAGGACAGTTACCCTACATGTATTCAAAGTGGTTTGAAGACAGCTAAATCAAGCTAAAATTAAGCTTTTGGAATGGTCTTCCCAAAGTCCTGACCTCAACCCCAAAAATATATCGACTACCGTAGAAAGAGTCCATGTAAGAAAACCAATTCTACTGTCAAAAACAGTGGACCCAACCTGAATTCTTCCAAAACCTTGTTGATGGATTACAAAAGTGACTGACTGAGATGGGCTTTGGGGCATGCAACCACACATGCTGTATTTATCTATTTGGTCCAGTAAATTTGGTCATGTTTTCATAAATCCCTCAAAAATGCATGAAACAGCTTTTAAAAAGAGAACATTTCCCAATTATTCTGTCACTGAAAAAGTTGTAGAAATCAATAAAATCCCCAAATTGCCTCGACAAAATATCCCTTATGTATGTAAACTTCTGACTGTATGTGACTTGGGTTTCAGAACTTTTACCATGCGATATCTCGTTATCCGTCTCCAGATCTGAGTCCCGAGTGAGTCCGTCTCTAACAGCCATCAACAGCAAAACACCATCGGGTATTAATCTCTCTTTCTCATCCTCTCTATTTCTAATAAGTTTTGTTTTATTGAAATTCCATGTAAATGCAATGCAGTGTCCCCAAAGCAAATAGAAAGAAAATTATAAGCTATATACAATAGAGACAAATATAAAAATAAAAGTACAAAAAATTACAATATAATCAAATCATAATGAAAAAATGTCCATTATTTTCATATTTCTCTGTGTTCATCTTCTCTGTGAAATTACATTTACGCCTATGAAGCTCAATTACTCTTCCAAGTGTAAAAACAAATGACAAACTTTGCAACTTAGTTTCCCAACTGTATACCTCAATGAGCCTTAGAGGCTGTGCATATTTTTAGCGGCTTTTTTCATTCAGCTGTAATTAAAAAAGTAACTGGTTCATTAATTGATGATTTTGTCATCCTGATGTTATCATGTGGAACACACTTTCCCACTCAAGAATTTCTTAAAGCAAAACCACTGCAAAACAATTTGCACATCATATATTAAAGACTTGAAATGCACATGCACAAATACTATTATAGTAAAACTACAACTATGCTAAAATGAAGCACTGTTATTTATATGTTTGTTTGTGAAAGCACCTCAGTAGGACAAGCTCTGTGTGGTCACTGGTTGGTTGGTCTGTTTGTGTCCTTTATTACAGAGGGGAAACACAGTGTGAGCTTGTACGCTGGGCAGTACAGAAGAAATCACTTAGCAACGAGTCAGCTCTAGGTTTGTGTGACGAACATCCCAATAGAAGGAAATACTAGTATTTCAATGTTTCTAACTGTAGTGTTGTTTTTATTCTCATTCCACCCTTAGCGGTGGAAGAGTCAACAAATATTCACTCACTCTAACCCGTACCACCATCACCCCATCAACCCTTCTTCTGAGCACCAGGAAGTGTAACTGCACAGAGTATTTCTATAGTGGCTGGGCAATTTTTCGTCCACTCAAGCACTGGGAAATCACACTAGTAGCATCCTCATAATGTCATTCAAATCAAGAAACTTTAAAAGCACAGGGCAGATTTGCATTTCACTGTTAGTGGGTAACCTTTTTTCAATATACTGGTTGATTTGATTTTCAGAAGTAAGGGATCGCATGATATTTTTTGCAGTGTCTAAACCAAATACTACAACCGCTAGGAACCTGTAAAACAGGCTTATCACTTTTTAAAGTTGGGGTATGCAGTTCTGGAGAAATCCAATACCATAAGAAATACCACGATTGAACAATGACTAATATTAGCTAAACTGTGTTTGGTAGTTGCGGGTCCGCACACAGAACTGACAGCTAGCAGACTGTATTTGACATAAAGACGTGTATTAGGGCTGAAACGTTTCATCGATTAAAGAAAAGAAAACAACAATTCTGTAATGTTACCGCCCGTCCACCATAAAACAAAACTTATGTCGCCTCTCCAACAGCATGACGGCATCTGAACAAAAAGCAGCCGTTGTTCTGGCAGCGGACCACAGACAAGGTAACAGTAACTTTAGCATTTAACTGAAATCATAATTGATTGTTGAGTTGAAGGTAGGGATGAAACGGTATGAAAATTTCATATCACGATTATAGTGACCAAAATGATCAATGTTATCATTATTATCACGGTATTGTAAAAATGTGCCAAAAAAGATTAAAATGTACTGATACACACACTGAAACCATTTCAACAAGTTTTATATTGAAAACTACAAATACAATTGCCATTTTGTTTGCATAAAAAATAAAACACCAAATACCTTTGTAAACATGTGAAAATCATCTAAGTGTGCATTATCAAGATTTTATATTTTATGTTATATAGGTAATACAATAGCCTTGTGGACAATTACATGAAAACAAATAAGTCTTTAGAAGACAGTGATAGTAACTGCAATGAGCCCAAAAACGGACATAAATACAGAGGAGTCTGTAGCGTTTCTAGATACGCTGGTTGTTTGACTAATGTTATCAAGTGCAGTGGACGAATAGACTCTGCAGACACACGACGCTCACAGCAACAGAACAACGTGTACGTCTTTACAAGAGCAGGTAACTCTGAGAGCTTCAGTTTACATGCTGTTAGCAAGTCAGAGAGAAACCAAAGCTACAAATCAACTCATCCTGCGTTCACTATAAGGACATTTTCTTCAATCAAGTTTCCCTCAGCGCTCTCATAAAAACTACGACCAGACTTCAGAGTGACTGAAAAATCTTTGCAGCTTTGTCTTCCGCCGTGTTGTCATTGACCCAAACAAACCCACGTTGCATTCTGGGAGCCTGCTTCTGGGAGACGCTGGACAGTGTTTGCCGTGAGATTATAATAGTACCCGGTTATCACGGTAATTAAGATGTGTACACTAATAATAACCTTCGGGAATTTTACCATGGTTTACCGTTAAACCGGTAATCGTTTTATCCCTAGTTGAAGGCTAGCCAAAGTAAGCTGCAGTCCTCAGCTAAAATTGTAAACATGTACGTTTGTTGTTCTCCTTTTTGGGCAGTAAGTTGTAACCTCACAGTCATGAGTTAACTGGGTGTTGTGGAGCTGCACTTTTACTCCCCTCCAGCTCTCTCTGTAGCTCAGACAATCCCTGCTACATGCATGTGCTAATCCATTCTTTGTCTTTATAATTGCTATCTTTATAATAACAAACAACAGCTGTTTCGTGTGCAAGATCGCTCATTCCGCATTTCACATTTCACGTGTATTTTCTTGACAAAATGTGGTTTGGAGACCAGCGTCAGGTGACACAGCCGCTGTCAGCTCTGTAGTGTGTGACCCCCTGTCACCGATCAGTCACAACACTTCAAGACTCCCGTCACAAGACGGCAAGTTGTGTAGTCTGAACAGCACGGCCATTGGCCGACACTGAAAGTCGTGTAGACTGCACAAGCGTTTAGTATAACTTGTATAGCACTCGGGTGATGTTTGTGTTTGTAAGCAGCTGTCTGGTTGTTGGTCTGACGTTTGCTGTATGACACACTATGAATTTCCGAAAGGACCAATAAACCGCTTTAATCTTGAGAAGCTGCAGAGCTGCAGTCTATTCATTCAACTTGCACTGTAAATTCCCAGCTAAACTGAGGCTTTTTGAAGACCCTTTTCTCTCTCTCTCTCTCGCCTGTCATTCACCGGTCTTGTGTGAGTTTTGCGTGCGTGCCATGCTGCCGACAACTACATGTACGTTGTGGTTCCTCGCGGGTCTATTTCAAGTAGCCAGCTATTTAAAAATGATAAAATAATCTATAGAAGCCTCAAATTCTAAAATCATCATTAGCTGCAGCCCTAGCGTGTATTGGATTAGAACTGCATACGCCACCTTTATGGTCATTTTTAACCTGTGTTCTGTGGATTTAATTTAGAAACAAATCCCAAACCACAAGACTCTTAAGTCTAAAATGAATATAAAGAAAGACAAAGAGACACTCCCCAGCCCCGTCTCCAATGGTACCTGTGAGGGATTTAGAGGTGCAGTCCTTTCTTCTGTGGGGACCTGATCCAGTGCCACTTACAGAACCCTCGTAGCTAATGCAGTCATAACAAAGCAGAGCTGTTCAAGGATAAAAAAGAAAAAAATATAAAGAGAAAAGGGGCGATGAAAAATAGAGTCATGGATTGCTGACTTTCTTTTAATATATCACTAAAAAGGCTTGGCATTCAAATCAAATTTGGGGTGCATATTTATATTCCAAAGCCGTATGCTTTCCAGGAACAGCCCTGTTTGATGTTATGGCTGTGTTAGCCATGCTGAAGCTCTCAAACCACAATGACTACCTGCACCTACATGCACCTGCACAATCAATCATGCCCCCCCCTCCTGAGCAGCATAGGTATCATCTTAGTTTAAACAGGCAAACAGTAGACTGGACAGCTGCAAGTGAACTTAACGAGTGCTTTAACAGAAGAGAAAAAAATGTGTTAACAGAGAGTTTAAAGCGGCAGCAACAGCAGAACCCTCAAAACCTGACAGAAGCCAAAATCACATTTGTTAGAGCTGGAAAAACCGCCACCAGGGTTAGTTCAGCAGAAGAGAAACAGTTTCAGTTAAAAGCTTGAAATATAAATAAGGCAACCCTTACAAAGATGCAGTCAACCATAAACTGGATTAGTTTACATGATTCACTGTCTGAGTTTTTGACTAACAGTACGTAACAAGTAGAGCCGAAAGACAACGCATTTTATTCTATGCAGTATGTTACTGATTTGTTTTCGCTATTTCTCCTTGTGTCCTATATTATGCTGACGATTCTTTTAAGGCACCTTGACTGGGCATAATAAAGTTCATTCTAATGTCTCGGTGTACTGACTGTCGTACCTGCAAAGGCTTTGGAAATCCTCTCTTTCTTCCACTCCCAGGGCTGGTCATACTCCTCAGGCGGTCGCTCGTCATCCTGGGGCAGTCGGCTTTCTCTGGGGCAGAGCAAGCGCTCGGGGTCCGGGTCTCCACCATTCTCAGCTGGCTCATACGGCGTGTCGTAAAGGGGCAGCTGCCTCCCTGATCCTTCCTTTGTTCCTCGTCCACCAGATCGTATTTCTACAAACAGGGAGAAAGCCCTGGTGGTTAATGCTAGGTTTCTGGGGGAAAAAAAGGCTCAGTGGGGCAGAACACTGTCAACATCCGAATTGAGGATTTATGATGGCAGATGCACTTACAAAACACTAAAGCAACACATTTTGTAAAGCTTGAAGGGCACATTTCTTGTACAACATATGATGAGTGTGTGGTGATATGTCAACTGATTTGACTGGGAGACAAAACAGCCTCATATTCAGTTTCAGGATCCTTGATATTATATGGCTGAAGTCACAGCCACTGACATCAGTTTGCAGGCTAAAGGGCACTATTAACATTGCCTATCAGGCTAAAGAGTTAAATTTATTTTATTCCGTATTAGAATGAGAAAGCAGCTGTAAGGCCTAGCAACCATGTCAGTTTTTATGGCTGGTAGTGAACAATTTCTGTGTATTGTCAAACAAATGGACAACATGGGCAAAAAAGAGACAAGGTTCAAAACTGACTAAATTGCCAAAAAAATAAGGCAACCAGTTGTCCACTGAAGTTGTCCAAAAGTTGCCCAGTGTTGTAACGCCTCAACCAAAAGGTTTAAGTGACCTGGGACCTCAAGTTTGTTTCTTTTAACTAGCTGGTTGCTTCACATTCAAACTGTAGCCTAAATTCATACCAACAACAGTTGTCGCACCTTAGTGATGACATAAGATGGCTACAGATACTGTGTTCACAGGTCCACAGGACCCTCAGCAACATAAATGTATGCTGGACACACTATCTCTTATCCTTATTTCATATGTAAGTATAAATCCCCCACCATTGATAGTTAGGAAGAAAAATGTGTAGTGATTTGAATGATGGTGACAGTTTGTGGGAAGCAGAAGCTAGAGTTGACATAAAGGGAGAAGAGGGGGGCATGGCAGGCTGAGCACCTGCAAAAGTGTAAAATCCCTGAGCACAGAGAAATCAAACAACAGGTCTGAAAAGACTTGCCCCGGGCTGCACGCACAGGTGAAGCAAAAGCACTTTCCACATTTTCCTTTCTCATCTTGTTCCCCAAATCCCCATATTTCCTCTAAACTCAGTGTTAATGTTCTGTCTTGTGAACTATGATAAATTGGAAAACATCAAAAGGGAACAATGATTATCATTAGGCTAAGGAAACTCTTTAAATCAATGTTTTTCTCTCCCAAACAATGTGTGTAAGTTACTTCAGTAACTCCTAAAACAGGTCTAACATATTAACAAAACACAAGTCTAAAAGCTCACGAGCAGTCCCTAACTAATGTTTCTGTTACTTTCTTTCGTCATACTTGGTAACCGTTTTATAAAAGCAATAGCTCACTTCAGGCCATTATATATGCTTATTCTATCACAGTTAAGTGGGTTGCCAACCTGAACAACGCCCCTTAACCGTGATATAATAAGCGTATACCACGGCCTGTCGTGAGCTATTGCTTAAACACAACACCAAAGTATATTGAGGACTTTGTGAGTCTTTGAGATTTAGCAGTGGGGTGCTATATATTTTTTTTCCCCCCTACTCAACAGCTTGAAGCACAACCTCTCATGTGCCACCCATCCAAAGCTGGACTTTGAGAGTGAATATATAGTGCCAGAAAAGAATTGTCTCTCAATGTGGAGGGGATTCTATCTATCATAGTGGTTGGCCAAAAATAAAGGATGGCATAAAAGGCATTTCACCCTGCGATCTTCACACAATGCAGAAAGGGACCCACATGCTTTAAAGTTTCGTATAGCTCCTCTGTACTTGCACTAGCAAACACATCCTGGACCATTTCCAGACATCTGGTGTGTTTGTATTTGGAGTTTTCTTTGGAGTCTTACTTTCTACTGCATACATATAAAATCATGAATTACACAGATACTGCCTTGATGGATGCCTGGCCACATGAGATATTTAATCTTATGCAGCAGTCAGCCTTATTTCAGACATTTTAAAGATGCTGCGGAAATCACATTTCTAACAAAAAGTAAAATATTTTAACATTTCACAGCCTTGCCTGAATATGACTTGCTCTAAATGTTACACGTAATGTTCCGATTCAGGAATCAGGTGCATGTATTCACATTTTGTCTTTCTCTATTCATGTTGTAAATTTACCTAACCGAAATTAAGATGCATGCACCACCTTTTATCCTCCATGTAAGGAGGTGAAACACACCTGACACCTAATGAAGCATCATGCCCTTGAGAACTTTCCTCCTCTCCATTTTCCTCCACCTCACTCCAATCTCCCTCTACTCATATGAAGTTGTTAGCAGCCTGCACCCTTCCTCCTGGGCCATATGAAGCTGTTAGTGGCCAGCTCCACCATAGAGTAATGCAATGTGAAGAGAATGAAATATTATGCCACACTACTGCATAATTGCCTCTTAGCCCAAGGGAGCTCTTGCGGAAAAATGAGCAATGCGTTGAGCCTAATGGAGCTACCCGCCGGTGGTAGTGGAAGTGGAGGGGTGGAGTGAGGTGAAGCTGCCAGGTCCCGTATCTCAGCGTAATCCTGCATTAGGCAAACTCCCGCTCTTTGATCTAGCAGTTAAAAGACTTGGTGTTACGAGATCCTGGTATGATTAGGTCCTACCTCCCCTGCAGAAGAACAAATAGCTCTAGTAGAGGGTGAAGGAAGCAAGGGGAGGCTTCCAGAGGGGGTTAAATGAGAGTGGGAGAGAATGATCGTATTACTTGGGGGGGGGGGAGTAAATCTTGGGGGAAGAACCCTTTAATTGGAGGCACACTGCCTTCGATAAACTACTGCAGTGGATTGAGACTCCCTGTTAACTACCACAAATGAAGCCTTGGGTAGGGAGACAGGAGTCCTGTTGACCCTCTTCTTCCTCCCACTTAACTTCTTCCTTCCTTGTTTCCTTCTATCCTTCCCTCTTTTCTTTCTCTCAGTCAGTTCCTGTTAAGGCATACAAGGCAAAGTGGGTGGGGACACGTCTGTCAAGGCAAATTACAGTGATTGGCATGTTGCAACACAGCTGCAGCCTATCTTCTGTCTTTGACCTCTACCCTCTCTTTAGGGTCAGAGGTCTGCTACCACACCCTCCCTTGATGTACCTCATATGTTCCCCTCCCCGGATGTCAGAGTTCCTGTCCAGATGCTCCACGTCCTCTCTTTTGCCTTTTGCCTCTCGCCTACTTGGCCTTTCCAAACCATACATTCATACCTCCAAAAAGCTTGCCATATTTGTTGTTTATTTTTCCATTTTCCTACTTAGGTGAAGAAACAGATATTTCAAGAACATCTATGCAGTAACAAAGAATGTTTTGCTGCTCCAAGGTTTTGAGTGCTACAAGTATTTTGAGAAAGAATTAAACTTCCAGAAAGTGTGGCACATGCAAGGGTCTCAGCAGTCATGTAACGGCAACAGCAGCACTGACCACAATCATCTGTTTAGTGCCACTAAGAAATATGTGTGGGGGGACCAAACAGCTGCATGTGAGCAACACACCATTTTTTTCTAATGAGAAAAGACATGGATACTGACTGTCATAAAAACTGTAAAGCTCCAGTCAGTTGAATGTAACGTTCTGCATGCAAGCTAAAAATCCAAACCAGTAAGGAGAAGTGCTTAGCTTTGAAACAAGTGACAGATCCAGTCTTTGTTATCGTCTTTCCCTCTGGTTCATGAACTAGACAGATTAATCTTATGGGAGAGAGAGGAATACATTTCTTGCAATAAATCCAGAGAGGCTCCTGTTCAACTACAGGAGGAGCCTTCTGGGCATATTATCATGACTGTGCAAGGGCAAGCAGAGCGCTCTGGATTAAATCAAAAAACATTAGCTGCAACCAACCTGGCAGCGACATCCGGCTACACATAAAGGACTGAGCAAGCCATCTAGCCCTCATCATCCAGACCACTTCTGTCTCATTTGTCCTCCTGCTCCATTATTGCCAACCAGTAAAAGTTATTGCATTTGCAAGAAAGTAGAAAACATCTCCATAACCGCGCTTTAATTGCAAGGATAAAGCTTCAAATACGTAAAGAAAAAACACATTTATCAGCCTCTCTATTTCACTGCCACCCACCTGCTGCCACTGAGCCAGAGAGAATTTGCTGCTGCGAAGCATTTGCAGGGGCACAGTGAATATCTGGATTTGATTGAGGGGATCTCTTGTGCACTAGTTAAGGATTAAATGCGATTGACTTTACAAACCAGGAAAACAATGGCCAGAAAATACCTAGGCTTCAAGGATTTGCTCTGCCTGCTCCGCCAGCTAAGTCACTCATAAAGAAACCCTGAACCTGTGCGTTTATTATCATTTCAGAGAGCTCAGCTATTTACTAAGTGGATCTCTGCAGAGTGCATCTGAATAGTATGACAAAATATCAATGAGGGAAATGGGTAACTGAATATACATACGTAAAATAAAACTGTTCAATGTTTAAAAATAGATAAATGGCGTAGCAGATGCTTTCGGATTCATGCACATTCATTAATAAAACCATGCCATGGTGCTGAGCTGCTCATGAATGCTAATGCTCAAATGTATTATAGTAAACTTAGTCACCTGTGACACTGGCCCAGCCAAGCTTGTTCCATGACAAAGACACGTTTCAGCAGGCTACAGGGTTGATTAACAAAGCCGCTGCGGTAAAGCTCGTACGTAGCTGTGAGACTTTTCTGCAGCTTTGATTTCATTCTATTTGATTGCCCAGGTCTCTGAAGAGGAAACAGGGTCAATCTTACGGAAGGCAGTCAGGGATTTGAGCTATATTGGGGGCCACCCACAGGTATTGTGTGTCAGTCAGAGAGCTGGCTGACAAGCCAAGGTGTTTGTTCCTTGAACCGTGGCGGCCTGCTGTTGAGTGTCATTCCGCTAAGCCAGTAGAGTTCAGAGGAGGCTCTCGATGCTGACTGTTCCCCACAGACCTCTGGGAGAATGGTTATGATAAGCAAAGACAAAACAACCCTGTCAGCTTAATGCTCACATCTCGCCCCAATTTTTATTTCATTTTCATGTCTCGTATTGTATTGAAGGAACAAAAGC